TTATCGAATCATAAACGAATATTTGAATAATCATACTATGTAATTTATATGATGGACCAACATCAATTTGTAATTTAACTTACGATACTCTTTATACTATACTATATTCCGTATATAAAAACATTAATACATCTGCATCTTACACAAATTATATTTTATAAAATATAACTATTAAAAATCATATGCTTTAGATTTTCGTGTTACGTTAATTTATTGAATTCTTAGTATTTTAAATAAACTTTATACTATATTACTTTGCTTGACTTTTGATGTTGAAAACATGGTCTGTGTATATATACATATATTCGAATATTCGAATACCATCCGAATCGAATATATCCCTATTTGTATTTGTATTTGATTAATATTCGAATCAAAAATAATATTTGAATTTGAATTTGTATTTGAATAACGCGAATTCGAATCATCATATTCGAATACAAATCACGAATCGAATTTAAAATATTGGATTTGTTTACCTCCTTAGTTTGATTTGTTTACCTCCTTAGTGATCCACACCCCTGCAATGTGAAGGTGGTGTGATGACTGTGATGAAAAAGAGAAAAATTGAGGTGATACTAAGTGGGGCTAAATGGGATGGTGTGAGAGGTGTAATCCATCACACCGTCTAATACGGAGCAGTCGTAGTTCCAAATGAATTCTCAGTGATTTTAATTGACCCAGTCAGCACGAGACATTCAGTTGAGCCATAGTTCACTTTTTTACTGACAAATGAGCAATTTTAAAACTAACTGGTGCCTCTGAAAAAAAGGTGAACTTTTTGTTGTTGGGGTAATTAATTGAAACACTTTTTTCTACTTCATGAAGCAAACTATTTTCTTCACAAACAACAATTTCCCATTCATAATTCCAGCTTAGACAAACCACAGCCTCAAAGGAATTGAATCAGACAAACTAATCTATGCAACCAAAACACAAATCCTAGCTAACAAGGGATATTATACAAGCCTCGGTCCCGAAACGTAGGAATACACACAGAATTCAGATTAAAGAGATGACAGCAACAAAAAGAGTAATGTTTGATGATCGCCCGAAGTTTGTTAGTCACGGCGGGGCCCACCAGTGGCTCGCTCTTAACGCATCCGGACGTTGGTGATCATCGCAAACTACTGGTTTGAATTGGGTTGGTGCAACATAGGACCCTTCCCTTCATCATCACTATCATCACAACTTATTGTTGTTTGCTTAAAAAGATTTACCAGAGACATGAATATCTCAACCCTGGTAATGTCTTTGTTAGCCTGCAACACAAAAAACGTTCACATTTCTCTCTTAGATGTCTGAAAATGAGCCTAAATGTTGTTTTTTTAGGCACGCGATGAAAGCAAATTTGGATCAAGAAGGGTACCTCGACAGCAAAACGTGCCCATATTTTCTCGTTCTTCATTTCCATGACCCCCTTCAAGATAGTCAGCCCTAATCCTCGAATAATGTCAGCAATTTCCAGGAAGTAATCATTTTGTTCACAAAGCATCTGTCAAAGAACCCAAAAAAAACCAGAAACTATGAATATAGTTTGCATTCCAATTTATGTCGTCTAAGTATCTAACAATAGCTTTAGATACCGACCTCCACAAGCATCTGGCGAGGCTGATTCAGATCCTCAACAATGATGGGACACATCGTAGACTCCGTTCCAATTTCATATGCCCAAGTTGCCCCCCCTTCGAAATTATCCTTAAAATGTAAACCCCCTTCTTTTCCAATAATCTACAGCAAAAGAGGGAAAAAAATACCATCAAATGCTAATACCAATATTTTTCCTTTTTTATAATTATTTGAAATGCAAGGGGTTGTTAGGCCACCTTTGACTCTCCGGTCTGTTTTAGTTTGTCTGCATGTTTTGTTACACTCTGTAGGAAAAGCATGTGCTTGATAGTGCGTTCCAAGAGAGCATCAATGCTACACTGTTGGCCAAAGATCAGCAAAATGAGGTTATAAGAGGCATTAGTACAATGAAACAAACATGGAAAGAAATGAAGAGGAAGCACTACCTTTGCTCCGTTTGGCACAATTTCTCGCAACTCTTTCACGCGATCTTGAATCATTTGGCGATCTTTTGGCCTAGGCCGAGGGTTCTCTCCCGGTTTTAGCCTTTTACGGCTTGGTTTGGCTGCTTCATCGGGTTTCTTAGAGCTAACAGTTGAGACACTGGTAGTCTTCTTCATGTCACATGCTTGTTCAATCCATGAGCTGACTTGTGAACCGTACATGGAACTAGCTTGAGGAGTAGTGTCAAATGAACAAGAGGCCATGATTCTTGATTTTGATTTGGGACAACCAAACAACTCTCCCTGCATTTGAGAAGACGCGCCAACCCGGCCATAAGAACACGAAGCATTAGGGCCAGAAGAGCTACTCATGGTTGTCAACGTGGTATGGCAAGAGACATTGTCGTCCAAACTTTGGTTTCCAGAATGGGTAGATGTTACAAAGTCTAAAATGTGATTGAAATCGTTGGCTGAGATGACACCAGATTCAGATTTTGCTTGGTTGACAATTGAAGAAGCATCCGGATCCATATCCTTTGTGTACAAACCTTCTGGTCTACTATTCCACCTTCCATTTAGGAGTTTATGTTTGAAATCAGCACCAAGAACATCAAACAAGTCATCTCCTGACGAATGAACACACGGGTCCTCGTAACCATCATCCAGCATTACACTTTGCGCCCCAGATTCATCTTTCTCGTCATAACTGAAACCAGGCATGGTGGGCCCACATAAACTCTGCTTCTGGGTACTCCGTGTCAGGACAGTGCCAAGTTCTTGGAACAAATCATTTTCAACGGCTCCCATATTCCTATCCAACTCGGAGCTGCATGTGTACATGTCAGGAATAATAGGCATTGGATGGCCATTAGACACAGCATTTGAATGGTGGTTGTATGCAGAGGAAGAGTGTTGATTTGGCCACATATCGGGATTCTTTGGGGAGATGTTTAAATTCTTGAGTGGAAGCACGTTTGGTTGACAAAGATTGTCAAGAAAGCTTTGGGGAAATGTCTGATTTGCACAATCTTGTGCAAGAAGAGAGGACAAAGTCTGGCCGGGGCACACCTCAGATTGAACAGTTTGCCTCATCCCTTGTTCATCAGAAATCAACACACATCCCAGCTGACCGACCAGCATTTTTACTTCATTCACAACACCGACATTCTCCAACATCTAAAGCATGACAAAACACATAACCATCAAAGATTTAAGCCCCCAAATGACTGAAGTATTTAATCAAATTGACTGATGAGGGAACTTACCATTTTGGACGAACCAAGCTGAACAACACCATGAGGAAGGACAGGAATAGCTGCAATTGTCTGCATGTGTAGAAGACATAAGTATTGATGGCACTACTGAAAAAAGAACATGTATAATAAAACATTGTCTAAAATAGTTAACCTGCATGCCAGCTGAAAATTGTAAAGACAGCTCTTTCAGTACCTGAAGACGCAAACAATGCAGGAAAATGTAAAACAGCTTATGTGATGAAGCTGAAAACATCAGCTATAACCAAGAAAAAGATCAAATTTTACGATTATTTCGAATCATTCTTAATGAGACTGTGTGGCAACAAACTCAAAAAAATATAGCAATTGTAGTTTAGAAAGAACAAACAAGCTAAAATGCAAATAGAATATTAAGAAATTCAGACATTTACTGGAGAAGAAAGTATGCACCTCTACTGGGTGTGCATCTCTACAATAACCTTCTGACAAAACCCATTGATGATTACCAGTTGCAGCAGCCTTTCCAACAAGTCTGAAGATAAAAGGAAGAACAAGAAAAAGATGAAAACATTTTTAGGCAACTCTCTCTCAATAAGTTTGAAACATGACCAACCAAATATTGTTTCACATGATATAAAGATACACCCCTACCCTTCTCCTACAACACTGAACTGATTTTCTACCATCATCTTGTTTACAAGAAGCTGAACCTTCTCCCCGGTTTGGGAAACACTGTTTGAGGCCCAGCAAGAACTCCAGTTTTGCAAAGCCAATTCCTGATTCATAGACCCAGGAATACCATGGATAGCAGAGTAAATAACAGGTTCATAGTAACAATCCTCCCATATCAAAAGCCTACACAATCAAACACAAGACCATATATGAAAATCCTCATAGTAATGGAATACTTTCCCAGAACATTTAGCAAAAGTGAAAGATCTTTGAACTGATGTTTCCAAGACAACTCTAAAATGGTTGAACATGGGAACAAAGTTACAAGAGCTTTGTCTGGAAAAGAGAATAAGAACATATAGAAAGAAACAAGAATGGCAGAATGAGTAATGAGCATGTTCGTGTACAGGGAATCACAGTGAAGGGTTTCATCATATTGAAATATTCCACCTACCACTATGATTCTCTAAAAATATTCCAACATTCCAAAAGCAAAAAAGAAAGTGGTCTGTTTACTGAAAAAGCAAAAATATTAAAAAATATATAAAAATATGTCTAGGAACATCCCTAAAGTCTATAAGGCGACAAATTATATCCTAACCAAGAACAATTTCTCACAAATTTCAAATTAAGCTTTGAAATTAACAAAAAAGGCAACTTTTGCACAATATTAATTAGAGCTTTTCACAACAAAACACGGCAAGTGAGAAGAAATGAGAAATGTGAGAGCTCACTTTGGGTTTTGGCAATTGATCTTCCAAAAAACAGCATAAGACCATCTATCAACTCCACACAGTGTTTTCAAAGCTTCCTTAAGCAGGTACCCCATAGCAAGTTGCAGCCAATGAGTATGTTTATCTATATGAGTCTATATATATATATAAAGATGAAGAACAGAATATCTTTCTAATTCCGGAGACAAGTAGAAGAGAAAATGTGAACAGATGTCAGCGCCGGCGAAGAATCATTGCTCTCTTTGTTTCTCTTTCCGGCAAGATCACCTCAAATTGCCTAACTTCCTCTACAAGACCCTCGCCCCGCCTGTTTGGTTCTCAACCCACCAGACCTTTTCCTCTCCGGGTCCAAATTCCTTAAAATCATCCGCTCACAACCCATTATAGAGAGAGAGAAATGGGAAAGATTGCAAGCTCTCAAATCCCAATCGAGAGAGAGAGAGAGAGAGTGAGTGAGTGAGTGAGACTTTATTTAAAGCTCTGGGTTTTAAAACTCGGAGGTCTTGGAGAAAGCTACACTATGCCACAAGCCTTGAGCTCACAGCTAACCATAAACACGATTTTCTCCATCTCGTGAAAACAAAGAAAGGGTGTGTACAAGTTTTAGGTATGGACAAGTACGTGAGAGATTCAAGAATGGGAAAAGATCAGAGCTTTAGAGCATCAGGGCTTATATCTTAACAGGTCCAATGCTCTGTCACTGTTAGAAGGGGAAGGGGAGGAAAGGGAAGGGTGATTCAGAGATTTATCTTTTGCTGAGAAATTGAAGGAGATGAGATTCTCTTTTATTTTATGCAGCTGTTTCAGGAGGAGGAAATGGAGGTGCTGTTGGTGGGGATGATGATGTGATATAGTGCGCCAGGGCTGTCAATCAAAAAGAGTGGAGCAGAGAAAAAGGGCATGGGATTTTAAAGATTTGCAAAATTGCCACTGTAGGAGTTGCTGTCGGCTTTAGGGGTTCTTTTTTAAGTTTTCTTTTTTTTTTACAAGTTCATGACTTTGGGACAATTTTGACTCAAGGTTGAATTTGCTATCTAGTAGTACATGAACTTGTTAAAAAAAAAGAAAACTTAAAAAAGAACCTCTAAAGCCGACAACAACTCCTAGAGTGGCAATTTTGCATGTCTAATTCTAGTATTATCAATTATTTTCGATAATCAAAATTTATTTAGCATGAGTTTTTAATTAGATGTTAGAGTATATTAAAATCATTGTTGGGTCACAAACACAAACTTGAATTTTTGATTGAGTTGGTTCTTTGACATGATATAGAAACTTTGAGATTATAAGTCATGGATTCGAAACTCATTGTCACAAATTTGAAGCTTGGGCTTTTAATTGAGTTAGTTTCTTAACAATAGCTAATCTCAAACTTTTTCTTCTTTGATTGTCTCTATATAATTTTGTCATTTTCTATTTATAAAAGATCAATGTAATTGATAGATTTGTTTCATTCTTTTCTATCACTAATCACTATGTTTAGGTTGCACTAAAAAAAAGGTGTATAAAGGGAAACGAGAAAGATAGCTAGGGCTGTAAACGGATAACCGAAAATTCGATTACCGTCCGCATCCGTATCCGTTTATATAGAAAATATCCGCATCCGTTAAAAACGGTTATTATCCGTATCCGATTAAGGATATCCGATTGCTAAACGGATACGGATTTGGTAATCATACATCCGATCCGTTTATAATCCGCTCCGCATTGACATCCGTTTAAATAACCGTTTATCCGTGTATCCGATCCGTTATATATGGTCTTTCCTAATTTTTTATTTTTATATTTTGTTTCTCTATAGATATCTCAAAGTATAAGACATTTTTATATGCGAAATATATGTGTAAACACATAAAAATATGTGTAGACATGTAAAAATATGTGTATATATGTACGGTGTATATCTTTTTATGATATGAAGTCATCGTATAATATCATAAACTATAAAAAATAAGAAAATAAATATCCCATAAAAAATTATAGTTGATTTAATAATATTTTAATTTAGTTTAATTGAAAATTCAAGTATTGTTTAGTTTAGTTTTCAAAATTGGAAACGGATACGGATATATCCGATATCCGACCGATATCCGACGGATGCGGATACGGTTATGATTTTTCAATATC